GGGCTATGGGGGGGTCAGGGGGGGCTGCGGGCCCCCTCCCAGCCTGGCCCCCTCCCGCAGGGGGCTGGATGGCAAGCGCAAAAGAAAGAGCAGCCAATGTTTGGTGAAGAGCAGCATGTCAGGTACGGGCTACCCCCCCACACCCCCCCGGCACTGCCAGGCACACTCGGGGACCCCCAGGCACCCCGTATCCCTAACGGGCACCCCAGTGTCCCCTGGGCGCTCCATGTCCCTAATGGGCACCCTGGTGTCCCCCAAGCACCCCATGTCCCTGCTGAGCACCCCAGTGTCCCCCGGGCACCCCATGTCCCTAACGGGCACCCCAGTGTCCCCTGGGCACCCCTTGTCTTTAACAGGCACCCCAGTGTCCCCCAGGCGCCCTGTATCCCTAATGGGCACCCCAGTGTCCCCCAAACACCCCATGTCCCTGCTGAGCACCCCAGTGTCCCCCAAGCACCTCGTGTCCCTGCTGGACACCCCAGTGTCCCCCACATACCCCGTGTCCCCAACGGGCACCCCAGTGTCCCCCAGATACCCCATGTCCCTAACGGGCACCCCAGTGTCCCCCGGGCACCCCATGTCCCTTACAGGTACCACAGTGTCCCCTGGGCACCCCTTGTCCCTAATGGGCACCCCAGTGTCCCCCAAGAACCCTGTGTCTGTAATGGGCACCCCAGTGTCCCCCAGGCACCCTGTGTCCCTGACGGGCACCCCAGTGTCCCCCGGGCGCTCCATGTCCCTAACGGGCACCCCAGTGTCCCCCAGGCCCTTACAGGTACCGCAGTGTCCCCCAGGTGCCCCGTGTCCCTAACGGGCACCCCAGTGTCCCCCAAACACCCCGTGTCCCTAACGGGCACCCCAGTGTCCCCCAGGCACCCCACGTCCCTTACAGGTACCGCAGTGTCCCCCAGGTGCCCTGTGTCCCTAACGGGCACCCCAGTGTCCCCCAGGCACCCCGTATCCCTAATGGGCACCCCATTGTCCCCTGGGCACCCCAGTGTCCCTGCCAAGCATTCCTGGGTTCCCCGAGTACCCCATGTCCCTGCCAGGCACCGTTGGGTCCCCTGGACACCCCGTGTCTGTGCCGGGGACCCTGTGGTTCCTTGGGCATCTGCTGTCCCTGCTGGGCACCCCAGGGTCCCTCAGGTGCCCCAAATTCCTGCTGGACATTCTTGGGTTCCCCTGGGTGCCACGTGTCCCTTCTGGGCAGTCCTGGGTCCCCTGGGCACCCCATGTCCCTGCCGGGCACCCCATGTCCCTGCTGGACACCCCAGGGTCCCCCGGGTACCCCATGTCCCTAATGGGCACCCCAGTGTCCCCTGGGCACCCCGTGTCCCTGTCAAGCATTCCTGGGTTCCCTGGGCACCCCATGTCCCTGCCGAGCACCCCATGTCCCTGCTGGGCACCCCAGGGCCTCCCTGGGCACCCCACATCCTCACCAGCTTCCATAGGTACCCCCCTTCTCCTGCCTGCACCCCGTGGGCACCCCATGTCCCTGCCGAGCACCCCAGGGTCCCCCGGGACCCCCATGTCCCCAGTGGGTGCCCCAGGAACCCCATATCCTTGCAGGGTCCCACGGGC